ATGCTTTTAATCCCTTAACACCTCAGCTAGTAAGGATCACAGTTCAAATCCATCAAAACAAATAGTGTAGCAATGTGTACATCTGCCATAGTAAAAATGGTACCTCACTCTTAAACCTTGCTCTTAAAAGGCTACAACCCTAGTATGACTATGAAACACAATTCATATTAATGCCAGCACAGAAACATCCTACAAAATATGTAACCAGTACTCAAAACAGTTAAGGGCATCAAGAAAGGGAAAGTGTAAGAAACTGTCACAGCTAAAAGGAGGCAGGACAACTAAATGCCACGTGGTATTTATGCTCAGAAAATAAGCATGTGAAAAGCAATGCCACTAACGAGATAGAGGAGCATTTCAAATGTGGGACTTACACAATGGGTGAGTCTTGCCGTGGGGGTGGGGCATTTTTGACACCAGATGAACCCTGTAAACATTATGCTGAGGGAACTCAGGCAGACACAAATCAGAAATGCTAAGAATCCACATACCCAAAGAAGCTAGCTGGTCACAGTCAAATTCACAGAAACAGTAAAGAGAGTAGAGAGCTATTTCCAGGATCTACAGTCTCTGCTTGGGATGATGAAAACAGCTGTACAACACTGAGCATGTCCTTGATGACACTCAATTCCTCACTTAGACAAATAGGAAAGTGGAGGGCTGGATGGATGGCTCAGTGACTCTGTAATCCAGAAACTCCTATAAAATGCAGGCTGGCTGGCCTGGCATATGCCACAGAGAAAACAAGATTCTCCTTCTCAAGGTGAAAACCAACACCTGAGGTTATCCTCTGACCTGGAGCCATGCTCCCTAACTAACACAGGAACAGAAACATACACACACACACACACACACACACACACACACACACAATAAAATTAGTAAAAAGAATAAAGGCTAATAGTTCCAACCCACTTCTCTCAAAAAGGATTCTTCAAGAGTATAAAACTCATAAGCACAACAATCAGAAGAGTGAATGCTAAGGACACAAACAAGCACTTCACAGAAGAAACCCAAGGAGCAAAAACTATATGCAAAGATATTAACACTCATAAGGCTAGACAGGAAAACGGAGGCCACGTGCTTAACATACACTCTAATATTCAATAAAAGGAAGCTGTTAAAATATAACCAACAGCTAAGGAAACACATTTAAATAACAAATACAGCCTGGCAGTGGTGGCTGGTGGCACACACCTTTAATCCCAGCATTTGGGGGGCAGATCTCAGTGAGTTTAAGGCCTACAGAGTGAGTTCTAGCACAGCCAGGGCTACACAGAGAAACCTTGTCTCAAAAAAACAAAACAAAACATACATATGTGTATGTATGCATATGCATGCTGGCAAGAGCATACATATGGGTCTGAATCAATGAACTCAGGTTAGAAAACACTCAGTGTCCAAACCTGGCAAAAATAAAGAGAAATTGCCTCTATTATAATGGCACATGGGTAAATAGGAAGGTTCCTATGGGCTTACACACACACACACACACACACACACACACACACACACACACACAGAAGCCAGGAGTGGTGACATACACAGAGGCAAGTGGATCTCTGTAAGTTTGAGGCCAGCCTGATCTAAATAATGAGTTTCAGGCAAGGCAAACAAGCAAACAAACAACAAACATACACATTACCTATCTTGTTCCAGTGCAATGGAATAGAGAACTGTTGGAAACAGTCCAAAAGCCCTTCAATGTGGGGAAGGGAGTGTGGGGGAGATGTCACATGAGGAGAAAAAAAATCAGGAAGGTGTGATAGCACACACCTGCAATCCAAGCACTCCAGAACCTCAGGCAAGAGCTCCAGAACATGCACAAAGGCCCTGCCTCAAAAAAGGGGGCAGGCAGTGTCTCAGGGACAACATAGAAGTTGTCCACTGGCCTCCATACACATGGACACACACACATACACACAAACACACATATGTAAACAGATGAAAAAAGGTGGGTGATATTACATATATAAGGAGGATTAGCCAAGAAAAATCTAATAACTAAATTTTGTAACATTTTTTAAATGAAAAGGATTAAATCAAGTTAGGAACATTCACTCAATCTGAAGTCTTCCATTTAAACAAACAATAACAAAAAAAAAAAAAAAAAAAAAAACCCAAAGCCTCATGCAAGATTAGGTGTTCGTATGTATTTGTAAGTGTATTTTCTGAGTCTGTATCTTTTAGGAATTCCTTTTTTTAATGTTTTATTTTTTCTTTCTTTATTGTTTAATTGTTTTTTAATTATTTTTTATGTGCATTGGTGTTTGCCTGTGTGTATGCCTGTGTAAGGGTGTCAGGTCTAAAACTGTAAATACAGACAGTTGTGAGAAGCCATGTGGATGCTGAGAATCAAACCCAGGGCCACAGGAAGAGTAGTCTGAGCTATCTCTATTTATTTTTAATGTTTATTTTATGTGCATTGGTGTTTTGACTGCATGTATGTCTGTGTGGGGTTGTCAGGCCCCTGGAACTGGGGTTATAGATAATGAGCTGCCATGTGGGTGCTTGGAACTGAATCTAGATCCTCTGGAAGAGCAGCCTTCTCTCCAGCCCCCCCCTTTTTTTTTTTTTTTTTTTTTTTTTTTTTTTTGAATTCTTGAAAGAACGTGTGACCTATGAAAAGGTAATCACTAAAAACTTCTAAAATGTTTGCATTCTGAGAACGTGGCTGGGGAGCTTTGGAGGAGGGAAGAAATTCTCTCAGTAAGCTTAATATTAAGGACTTATTAAATGCCTCTGCCACACACATACACACACACACACATACAGAGAGAGAGTTTTATCTTAAGATCCGAGGCCTGAGCCTATACTGATTCTCTGAATAATGACAAACATCAACAAAAAATGAAAGAGCAGCACAGCTTCAAAGTGTATTATCATAAGCTTCTTCTTTAAATAGCAGTTAAACAGAGAGGACCAGAAGCAAAGATGATTAAAGATCCATAGTATGGTCACATTAGAACCAGTGGAGGTGTGAGTGGACCACAGCTGGTACTCAACCATGAAAAGGAAGGTTCCAGATTAGATATGTAAATTAAAATAAAATAAAATAACCCTCTCATGGTGGCACAAGCCTATAGTCCCAGCTGGGTGTACTCATGCAATTTGTAATCCCAATATCTTGAGAGGCTGAGACAAGTGTTTATGTGTAAGTTCAAGGCCAGCCTAGTCTACATAGTGAGTTCTGACCTATCCAAGGGCTACCTTATGAGACCCTGATGATGATGATGATGATGATGATGATGATGATGATAATAATAATAATTTAATTAAAATTTAAAATGATAAATATAATTTTGTGGGCTCTCTTGTGAAACCCCAAATCTTTTCTAGAAGCAGATAGGATGGAAGGAGGCCAATATTTTCTGAACTTGTGTTATACAGTAAATTAATCAACAAAATGCTTATTTTAAAATATACTTGTTTCCCCAAACCAGAGCAGTTTTGATCTAGAAAGCTACATTAATATCAACCACAGAAAACTGTAAATAGTATGCCAAGCTCAGGAAGCATGCAGCTGCAAACTTAGGCCACTATATACCAATCCAGAAACTTGACACTGACAAATGGAGCTGAATTGAGTCCACGGACAGTCTGCTTGGATTATTTCCCCTAGTGTTAAACTGTGAACTCAGTTTAGTAAAGGATGCTTTCTCTTCTCCAACCCCACATATTCTCTTAGCTCCCCTACCTAGCCTACACCTATCTAGATACCCCAACTCCAGGACATCTCTAGGCTGCTGCTAACAGTACCCACTATTGCTTCTTCCAGCACCCTCTCACAATCCATCTCCCACACACACAAATATTCACATTAATGCCCAATCCACAGACAACTCTCCCAGCCACACCCTCATCCTCTCCCACGACCTCAAAATGCAATCCAAACCTCACTACCCTCCAACTCCTAATATTCTCCACAAAATCCCTGCCCAATGGCACCACAAAACCAGGGCACATGCCTTCTGATCTTTTAAGCCCTTTCCTATCACAGAGCCTTGCTTCTGCAATTAATGCTGCTTGCATACACTGAGTAGCGGGGAATGGGGATGGGGGGGGGGGCAACATTTCCCTTCCCTTTACATTCTGATCCACTTCATGCCTGACCCTCTCTCCCAAAGCCTCTGCGCTCTTGTGTGGTTCCTTCCTGTCTCTGGAAAGGATGGAAAGTTACAGGAAGGGGCTAAGGGAGCTTGCTCTATCCTGTGGACTGTGGTGGAGTCGCTGCTCAAGTCTCAAGCAAACTATGCCTGTGCCTGGGCTGCAGTCAGACACTGTATTAAGAAACCCAGCCCGCCAGTAACAGTAACAAGAAGGCAGTGGATAAGCCTGTTTCTAGAACAGAGAAATCGGGATGATAAAAACAGCTGTCTCATGGAGTTGTGAGGATTCAACCAGCATTTTGCACATACCTAGCATGGTAATCTCTCCATAACTGACAGTTTCTCCTGGTCCTCTTCAATGCTAAGGTCCCTACAGAGTCTCACCCCTGAGGGACTGCGGGAGGGCAGTGGAACACTTACTCTATAGATATGGGGTGTCACCAAGAATTTTTTTCAGATCCCCAAAGTCAGTATTCTCTCGCCCTTATACCCCTGCAACCTAAGATCCAAGATATGAATACATATTTCAAGTCCTCCTTCCAGGCATTCACCCGAGGGAGTTAAGTGTGCCATAAGGCTCTGAGACTTGGGAAAGAAACCCCGACGTCCCAAATACCTTCCTCAGGAGGAGCAGAAAAAGGCACCCCATAACGCTAGGAATAAATGCAGGAAACCTACTCAGAGCGGGAGCGAAAGAGAAAGCGCGGTGTCTGCCAGCAGGGCTCGGGGCTCCCCGGTGTCTTCCCGGAGGGATGCGGAGATCTGAGCGCGGGAACACCCGGCTCCCCCGGCCCAGGATGCAGGGTCCTTCTCCTGTCAGCCCTCCTCAGTCCCGCGAGCCCAGCCGACCACCTCTCCCCCTTCTCCGGCCCCGGCACGCGGCCGGCTCACCTGCTGGGACGGCAGCTCCACATGCAGGGCCCGCGCGGGGGCACCGGGCGGCAGCGCGGCGGACGGGCCCGGGGGTGGCAGGGGCACCGGGCCCCCGAGGGAGGCACAGGAGCTCATCTGGACCCCTGGGCCGCCGAGCGGCCAGGCGGGCACTCCTCCCGCATCCGCCGCCGCCTTCGCAGCCGCTATCCACAGAGCCCCTGCAACCTAGAAACGAACCTCCGGAGAGCCCCGGCAGCTCGGCGCCCGCACTGGCCACCGCCGCTGGCTAAGGAAGAGCCATATTACCGCAGTGCAACCCCTCCACCCGGCCAGGAGCTGGCATGCTCATTGGTTCCGTTCCTGAGAAGGCGGGACCCGGTGGCGGTCTAGGGACGTGCTATTGGGCAGCAAGTTCGTCCATCACAGGCCGCAATGGCTAGGGGCGGAGGGACTCTAGGATGGCCTCAATTGCGTCTGTCAAACCCAGGCGAAACCTGGGGCGTTACTTCTCTTTGCCTAAGCCTAATTGGTCCTTTCACTATTGAGAGGTGGGGTCTCCTAGAGGAGCCTCATAGGCCATTGCTCTAGAGCGCTGTCAGTTGTCGGTGAGAGAGGGACGGCGGCTTGATTAGATAGAGCGCGCGTCTGGGCTCTAGTGTCACGTGCAGAAGTCTGGAGAGTCACCTGATTAGTGAGAGTCGGTCTTCTAAGCCACTTCCGCCCTAACCTTGTTGCCATGGCAACAGAGCCTCTGGTGGAGGGCGGGGAAGGAGTTTAGAACCAGCTGAGTCGGGATGGATGGGTCTGTCTTGCCAAGTGTTCTCATCCACTTACAAAAAAGTGGTGCTTTATGGTTGAGAAAGGAGCCAACACCGAGAGGATCCCTGAGACCAGAGATCCATCGGCTCTTCAACAATCGACTAAGATCCGCAAGTCCACGCCCCTTCTATCTTCTAGTACTAGTAAGCTTAGCCACAAAGTGTGCCAGCCACCCAGGAGATTCACCTCTGCGGGTGGGATGCTTATGCTCTGCCTAGAAAGTCTTTACGGCTTGTGACTAATGCTTGCTTAGCCATAATTCCGCTGGAGCAGGAATCCTTCAAAAAGACTTCGCTCATCTCTCTGGGACTCTGAATTAGGAACCTTGCCTCTACCACCGTCCAGTTTATTCTGTTGTGTTGTCTTTGTTTTGGGAGGGGTACTCACCATGTAGCTCGGCCTGCCTCAACTCCACAAGTACTGGGATTACAGGTGTGTGTTACTACACTAGCCTCCACTTTGTCTTTTAATAGGTATTTAGCACACACAAACTGCCACTTTGCCTTCCTGAACACAAACAAGCACACGTGGATTCCTCGACCAAGGGACCTAGTCTGATTCATCCCCAAATCCCTAGTGGCTGCAGAGAATAAGTATCTGAACATGAAGGTACAGCTCAAATATCCTCTCTTTCCTGAAGGCTCCTTTGATCATAATAGCAGCCATAGCCATTGCTTCTATAAGTAGCTCTGAGTCACTTTGCAGGATATTGATTCCCCCTCCCTTAGAGTGGGACTTTCTCTGCCACCTGGACTGATACAGCAGAAAGAACATAGTGTTCAGAGAGGCAGACACAACAGGAAGCAGGCAGTTTGGGATTCTGTCACTGAACAGAGTGAGTGCCCATTAACCTTGGCACAAAAAAAAAATGGACTTAGGCTCTTTTATTAGGTGGGAGAGAATATAGCTCAGTGGTTGAGTAGATGCTTAGTATTCACAAGGCCTTGGGTTCAATCCCTATCACCATTCTTAAAAATTGATGTGTGTACACATGCCTGTGTGTATTCAGGTATGTGTACATATGTGTCTTCCTGAAGAGGTCAGAAGTCAGCCTGGAGTGTCGTTCATTCATCAGGAGCCACCCACCATGTGTTTTGAGACAGGGGCTCTCATTAGCCTGGAACTTATCAATTATGGTGAGGATGGCTGGTCCTGGCAATGAAGGTATACACTGCCATTTCCAGTGATTTTATTAAGATACTGGAGCTGGAACTCAGATCTTCATGGTTGTTCAGTAAGTACTTTACCAACTGAGCTATCTCCCCAGGCCCTCCCCCTTCCTGAAATAGAAGGAAAGCATATTACCTCTCAGAGGGAGATGAATTACATCTGAACTGCTTTAATGTCAGTCTACTGTTTTGAAACATTGAGCAGTTCCTCATGACTGGAGCCTCAGTTATATGGTCAGGTGTCTGTTGAGAAATGAGTTGTTGGGAAATTCCAAACAGTATCTAGCTCAACCCATACAGTGCCAAGATCCAGTGGAATTTCACAGAAAACATACTCCTGTTTCTAAGCTGTGCTTGTTTGCCAAGGATGCCATATCAAATTACCACAAACTTGGTAGCTAGAAACAACAGAAATGTATTCTCCCACAGTTTGGGTGTCCTACCTCCTTGCTCTTCCAGCTTCTAGTGGTTCTCAGACTTCCTTGGCTGCATAATTGCAGTCTTTATCTTCTCCCGCCCTTCTCCACTTCTTCCCGTGTCTTCTTTCTCTTATCAAGACACTGGCATTGAATTTAGATGCCCTGACTTCATCTTGAGATTCTTCATTAAGTGACATCTGCAGAGCCAGGCAGAATATCTTATGCATGTAATAGCAACACTCAAATAGTTACCATGAGTGAACTACACAATGAGTTCCAGGCCAGCTACATGGGCTACAACATGAGACCCTATGTCAAAAAAGAAAAAAGAAAAGAAAGGGAAAGGGAGGGGAGAAGAGAAGAAAAATAAATGTATATGTAAATACCTTTTTTCAAATATGCTTATAATCACTGGTTCAAATGATTTGAATATCTGGGCCATCACTCAGCCCACAACACAAGTAAAGAAAAATAAGTCTGTGGGCTAGTGAGCTGGCTCAGCAGATAAAGGTGCTTGCTGCAAAGGCTGAGGATCTGAGTTCTATCCCTGGAACCCAATTGGCAGAAGGAGAGAGCTTGCTCCCATAAGTTGTCCCCTGACTTGCATGTAGCACGTAGGAGCTCACACACATAAACATAAATACATAATACATACATACAAATGTAAAAAAGAAAAATGGGCCTAGAGAGAGAACACAGAATCACTTTGTCTTCTTTTGGGGGGGGGTCACTTCTATCAGCTAATTTTGTCTGGTTTGGTTTTTTTGAGACAGGGTTTCTTTGTAGCTTTGGAGGCTGTCCTGGAACTCACTCAGTAGACCAGGTAGGCCTCAAACTCACAAAGGTCCATCTGTCTCTGCCTCCCAAGGGCTGGGATCAAAAGTGTGAGCACCATCATCCAGCTTATTAGCTAGATTCTTTATTCATTCAACAATTTCTAGAGAGCTCCTCTGCTAGGTACCAGGAAATCAGACCTTTCCAGAGCAAACTCCTTGTAGAAGGGTCCAATACATGAAGAGTGACAACATGATAGCTCAGTACTGAGCGAGTACTCCTGCTAGTATTCGTACTGAATGAAACCCAAGGACAGTAGCACCCAGACAGACTTCACAGTGGAAGGAATATTTAACCAAGGGTATTGAAGAACCGCTAAGAGCAGAGGGAAAGGATTTCAATAGAGTCCATCTCCCCACAAGCTTTCACTGGGGTTCAGATCTTCACAGGCTGCCTGCTGAATACCAGAAATGCATACCTCAAACGTATGACCTATCTCAGACTTTTCTCCTCCCGTGGCTCAAGAACTAGTAGGAAACTCACCTTCCCGCTTGCAACCTATTCAAATATCAACCATGTATCAAAGTATCACCCATGGCAGATAGTGTCTTCCACTGTTCAAGAAACACACCCTATAATTATTTTCATATGCTATTTTATTCTAAAACACTCTGTATTCTTTGGAACTTAGTTTATAATGTGGCTGTTTCAACATAAAACACGTTTCAAACTGCTTAGAAGTATCATATTTATACATCTCTGTGCATATTTCCCAGAGAAACATGTAACTCAGTCAGTGGTTCTCAACCTTCCTAATGCTGTGACCCTTTAATACGGTTCCTCATGTTGCGGTGACCCCCAACCATACAATTTTTTTCATTGCTGCTTCCTACCTGTAATTTTGCTAATGTTATCAGTCATAAGGTGGATATCTGATATGCGACCCCTATGAAAGGGGTTGTGACCCATAGTTTGAGAACCTCTGATCTGAGTGGCCAAGTACAGCATATATGCCATGCCAAGAAGGTCAAAGGTCAGGTGGAAGCAACATGACTGGCTCTATAGAGGCTCGAGGGCAAGTTCAATGGTGACTTGAGAAGCTAAGCATGATGTCTTAGTCACTTTTCTATTGCTGTGATAAAACACTATGACCAAAGCAACTTATAAAAGAAAGTGTTTAATCAGGCTTATGGTTTCAGAGGGTTCCAGTCCATGACAGCAGAGGAATGACTGAGAGCTTACATCTTGATTCACTGAGAGAGAAACAGTGGGTATGCCATGAGTCTTTTAAAACCTCAAAGCCTGCCCCTCGTGACACACCTCCTCCAACAAAGCCACACTTCCTATTCCTTCCCATACAGTCCCACCAACTGGAGACCAAGCACTCGAATCTATGTGCCTATGGAGGCCACAAACTTAGTTAAATTAAATTTATCCCGTCCTTCTTCTCAACAGAGCCTCTTCTATTCCTTCACTCATTCAACCATTAGACCCTCACTAGGCATCCAGCCTGAGACCACACACACACACACACACACACACACACACACACACTTTAAGAAAACAATGCCAATAGCAGCCCTGGCTGGGAATAGTTCCTTACTCAGTTCAGTCCTCAGTGCTGAGTGCAATGATCGAAATGGCACATAGAGTACAATGAGAGCACAGGAAGGAATGTTCCTGAAATGGGATGCCTGAAACGGGATGCAGGAGGGAGCAGACAGAGCAGCGGCGAGCAAAGGCGTGCAGCAGAATTGTTTGGCTGAAGCAAAGGCTTCAAGGAGAGCCTTTGGCAGGGCAAGGAGGCTGGAGGAAGGTGGTGGGGCCGGTGAGGAGCCTGACTAGCTGGCTGAAGAACTGGCTTTGTGTGGGGGTGATAGGAAGTCACTTTTAGGGTGATGACTAGATAGACCTGGAGAGGTAGCTTGGAGGAAGCAGGATGAGACTCGCCAGAGGTTTGTATAAAGACCAAGTTAGAACTGTTAAAGCAAAAAGTCTCCCCCCAGGAGGCTGCACACACCCAGCAGACCTGGAAGGCATTTCTCCTCCTCCCCTTTCTAGTTACATTCCTGAAAAACCTTTCTAGAACTTTCTAATGGCTACTTCCTCTGCACTCCCTCATGACTGCCTGGCATGTCTTTGTAAGTGTATCCATGTGGCTAGTTGTGCTGGATAGGGTAAATTGATCATGTTCACTCTGTGTAGACCTCCGCTTTCGATTTCTTTCTGAATCTCCAGTATCCAGATATGAGGAAAGCTTCACAAGCATCCCGAGCATGTGACAGAATGAAG